TAAATTTGGGAATTTTGAAGATTTCCATGTGATCGTCGATCATTTTATGATCACAGTAAATTGAAAAGAGCGATAATATAATTTTGGTTATTGCAGTAGTACTTTACTCACAACAATATGCATTATATCGACTTATTATATATTTAATTGATCTACAATTGTTATTTATAGTTTGTAACTTCTTGAAAAATAGCCTAAAGCATCATATAATTCAAGTTTTTAAACTGCTCTATAGTTACAAAATTTTGTTTTTATCAAGTGGTACTAAGTTGTTAATATAGAAAGTGGTTCCTTCTGAAGTAGAGAATAATAATTTAATTGTTTAATAATAAAGTGTGAAAATTTATAGCTAATTATGTCAGTTATATTATTTTAAATAAAACCTCAAAAGACAACCAATCAGGTTACATAATTGTTTACTAATTTCCGGCCGTAATTAACTTTTTTTTCATTACAAAAATAGAAATTAATTTTTACTTAATAGGTTCTGTGGTTTCATTAGTAGAATTTCGAGTTTCCGGCCAAATTTTTTGCTAGGTTTATTAATAAAGCTAGATAGATATAACGTGAAAATCACATTTTTTAAATAACTGTCGATACGTAACTTGAAATTTCGACTATTAAACCACATTCTGCGCTCTAATATAAAAAATTATAATTTCTAATCTAACTTTAACGTACTTTAAAATATCACACATATTGAATTTGGGTTGAGATCTGATTGGTGCATATTTATCGATATCTCAAGCTAATAATATTATATACTTTTTTCGAACTTTGAACGAAAATATCTCAGTAATTACCTATTTAATACATATCATAGAATAAAAATAAAAAAAGTTTTCATCGATTTTGGGTGGGCAGTTATCGTGGTATTATCGATCAAAGTTTGGAAAAACTAAACTGCTGACTTTGCTTTAATAATTTCTCGACAGCAAAATCAGTAAAGTTTTTTTTATATTAATTCCATGAATCCATAAAAAAAAACTTTCAAGAACAGTTAACCCAGTGACGATAATCATTTGATAAATATATCATGACGTCATTTGTTTACCAGAATTAACTAAACTGGCCTAAACTAAGTTCCTAAACTAACCCTAACCTAGGCCGAACGATAGTCATGTGATATTGTGATGATCACTGGGTAAAAATTCAAACCTGGTGGCTATTTTCACAGAAAGAAATTCAATTCTGCGCGAAAGTTTAATTTTAAAATTTTTTGTGTCACAGAAAATTGCAGATCTGAATAGAAAAAATTTCCCGCCCGATGTTGATCATTTGCATTCATCTCGAATATTTTGATCAATTTGGTTATTTTCGCTTTGATCCATCCATTATTTTGAAAAGTTTTTTTTTTTTATTTAATTCAAATATACATATACATATTTATATATCAATATCCAATTGCACATTATGTACGTACGTAATATTTTGTTAATAGTTAATAGTCTATTATATTCATTTTACAAGTTCAGAAATTGCATAAGTAACGGTGAAATTCCGTTTATCAAAAAACTGTGCCGAAATTTTTTTTAATCAACCGGAATCTCCGGTATTTTACAATAGAATTTGCGCGTTGCTTATAAACCTATTTTTGGGGAAATAAATATGTAAATTTTTACAATTCTGATTGCTCTGGACATATACGATATCAATTTGGTTATATCGAAACTATTATGCTGCTACGTAGCACATGAGTGACATTAATTTTGGTTATTTTTTTATTAACAATATTTGTTATATTGTATATCGAAATCGTTGCTTATTTCGTGACAAAATTTATCAAAGCAAAATTTGGCAATTACTTAATACGTTAAACATTAATCGGAGATTAAAGAACATCTAAGGCCGTGCTGATTCAATAATGTTTGAAAGGTAATTTAAATTTGCTGAACATTTAGTTCCGTACTTAGTATTACCTCAATATCAATGATATGAGAGATATGAGAGATATGAGAGAAAAATTATAAAAAAGCTCAATTATTTTGGTTCTAACTCTTGAGACTACACATTTTATTATCGTTATTAGTTTTTAAGAATCTCAAGATGTCATTAAACCGTCTTAATGAAACATATGCGTGTGATATTTGCAAAATTCTAAAGACTAAATGTGCTCGTGCCGTCTCCACTACATCAAAAACGAAATGCACTCAGTGCAAAAAACGTAATCTGGAATGCACCTACTATAAAGGTAAAGGGGAAAAACGAGGTCCAAAACCAAAAAACTCAAAGGATAATAAGCGTAAAGAAGAAGAAGAAATATTTCGTGGGTTATCTGCGGAAGAAATCAAATACTTTAACAGCACATATACAAGGGAACATTTATTTCCACTATTGAAGGTACTCGGATCCTTCAACTCACAACCTTGTCCATCAAAGAATATTGTGGGTCATCATTGCCATAGAGGTTGTATCGTAAGGTATAAAATTTAAATTAGGTTCAATTCTAATTAATTATTGACCCATTTATAAGCACTATAATAAGCTTTTTTATGCCATTTTTGGTCGTATGATATCAAATATTTAAATTGATTGTTTGTATATATAAAATTATTACTTTTTTTGCTCTTGATAAAGAAAGGAGATATGAAGAGATTAGCTTTGATAGGCTGAAAAAGTTTATCTAACTTGTATAGAAGTTGGTGTGACAAGTCATAGCTGGGTATATTTTTTACAACTAGATAATATTAGACTTACAATTAAGAGATATAACTTGTTTAGTTTATAAATAAGTGTTAGTTTATATTTGAGATAGTTTACTATTACTAATTAAATAAAGTTTCTATTATTTGAATACTGGCAAAACTGTCAAAACTTAAAAAAAAAAAAAATTAATTTATAATAACTCAGTTTTTAGTAGTTATAGTTTATAATAGTTTAATTTTATAATAGCTTAGTTTTTAAATTTTTTGATTTTAAACTATAGTTTTATAGTTTAGAACTGAACTATTAATATCTCTAACTTAGAAATCTTTCTAACAATATTTTAAGTAAAAAAATCTCTAGCAAAAAATTCTGGTAGTATAGAAACAAATCGATATTGAGATCTATACAAACTTAATTTATTTAAACTAGAATAAGTTTATAATATAAGGATGTTCTATAAAATAGGCGGGCAAACTCCGCAACTCCACTAAATATTTATTAATGATTACTAATTATTAGCAGAGTTTATTTATATATTGCCCACCTATTCTATAGAACATCCTAATATAATTAGAGCCCAAAGTGACTATACTAGATAGTAAAAAGAAAAAAAAATAAAATAAAAAAAATGTTTTATTTTTATATAAAAAATATATTTATAATGTGTTTAAAATGAGCAAATATAATACACAATTTATGTTTTAAATAAAGCTTATAATTAATTCTTTTTATAATTTTTTAATATAAATACTATCCCTTAATTTGTATTGCAGACAAATTTGCCTGCAAACTTTTTTAAAATTTTAATTTTTTTAATAAAATCTTAAATATTGA